TATATATATATATATATATATATGTATGCTTGGTACCAAGCATAAATTTTATGCTTGGTAGTGAGGTGTCATTGTTTGTTGGAAATTTACAGTAAAAAGACAATGAAAGAAAATTTGACTTGTATTCCTCTCAAAATCAATTATAATTTGGATTCCGATTACAAAAGAGAGGAGAATGAATTTGATTCTCCCCTTTGTTTAATTCTGGGTTCTTCATGGTGGCGATGAGATGCCTTTCTCGAATGCTCGCGTCGAGTTTGCTTCTCGTTGACGATCCGAACGTTTTGATTCACTGGAACGTGATTTTCTCCTCACGATTTGACCCTGTGGAGAACTTGCGTGGCAAGTCTTTAAAAATAACTCTTAACGAGTTAATAACTCAGAGCGAGTTTATCTCTATGAAAGAGTTGATTTAAACCGAAAGTTCGGTTAATAAACCAATAATAAAGAAGCTCCTATTGTCGACCTCTAAATATCCAGTCGAAGAACGAATGCTCTTCTTTGCTGCCAATCCTCAGGTCCAAAAAGCCAGCCCTTGACCGAATTTCCCTTTGTTGATGAGAGAAAATCTCCTCCCTTAACTCAATTGAGTTTCTCGTATTTATAGGGGGTTACGGGTGGTAACTGCCCCCTTAATTTGCTCCTCAATGGGCTGAGTAGGGTGTAACCGCCCCCTCTTAAACAGATCCCCAAATCGTGGGGAAAACGGTCTTGAAACCATCCTGTTAGTGCTTTGAACGAGTCAAAACGCTGAAAACAACGTTCTGGGCCTGAACTGTGCATTTCTGGACCTGAAACGCAGAGTTAGGCCTGAAAACGCACAGTTGGGCCTGTTTAAAGGCTGAAAACGCATAGGTCGTGCTGTTTTAGAGATGAACTCTGCGTTTTAGGCTGAAAACGCAGAGTTGGGCCTGTTTAAAGGCTGAAAACGCACAGGTCGTGCTGTTTTAGAGATGAATTCTGCGTTTTAGGCTGAAAACGCAGAGTTGAGCCTGTTTAAAGGCTGAAAACTCACAGGTCGTGCTGTTTTAGAGATGAACTTTGAGTTTTAGGCTGAAAACGCAGAGTTGGGCCTGTTTAAAGGCTGAAAACGCACAGTTGGACCGTTTTAGAGGTGAACTCTGCGTTTTAGGCTGAAAACGCAGAGTTGGGCCGTAACTCTACGTTTTGATGTTATATCACAAGGATAACCTCTGCGTTTTGAGGTTATAACGCTGGTTCGACCTGTGCGTATTGACTCTGTAATGCAGAGGCGAACCTTAGGCGGGCTTGGCGAGCTTCAAGCTAAGTCCAATGTTCTGACGAAGTCCGGTCCTGCAGACGGACTTCAGAACATAAGTTGCTACGAAGAACAGATCATAACTTTCAAACCGTAAGTCGGAATTGGACGAGTTATATATGAAAATCGACTATCTAGACGAGACGGGGCCATTCGAACCAAGCTAAAGGCTTCGTTTCGCTTCCTCCGTTTCGCCAAATTCCTTACGGTTTGAGAGATATCTGCATTCTAATATGAAGAGACCGTCAATTTGTAGTCTCTTTTGCTAGAGCTTTGCACAGATCGTCCTCTTGTAATCTTCGTCTTGGCTCCTTGAAAATATGAGAGTCGTCAGATTATACTCCCGATGTTGATTGTGAATGCTGTTGAATTAGAGCTTTCATCAGTTGTCGTGAAGGTCGTCAGATTGTAGCCTTCTACGTGAAAGTCCTTAAATTGTAGCCTTCTGGAAGTCGTCAGATTGTAACTTCCATCATCGGTGTTTGATGGGGGATCAACTATCTATTATGATTTTTAGACAACCTACAGTCATATTCCCATCCACTCATTCCAATTCTCAATCACTCCCAAAGTCATGTGAATGTGGACCCCGATTTCAATAAGTGGAGGAGAATATGTCAACTCACTACCAAACATAAAAACTTATGCTTGGTACTAAGCATACCCATTTTTCTCATATATATAGATATATAGATATATGTGCAAGCATGCATGTATGAACGTATGTGTGTGTGTATTAAATAGTTGGGCACACAATACTTTCCTTGCCAAAGAGCCTAAAAATCGAATAAACCAAAAGGAAATCTAATGTACTAGATAGACTTAAAGGGGGGATGGGAACAAAAATTGAGAGATGGGAAGCACATGAAACTTGCTACGCATAGACTAGTTGATATCTCCACGCATGCGATATTTCAAAAAACCCAATCTCAATCTCCTTCCTGAATGAACTAGAAGATATCTCATATCTCTCCCTTTAAAGACCCCTATCTTGTTAAGGAATTAAATAGGCTCCTTTAGCTTGTATAGTTTCTCTCACTTTGTTTCTTCCCTTAAACTGAGGCATGAGTCAGCAAGTACATATCCACACATCACGTGAGAGGGAGATCCCTTTGATGGTGACTTCAGTTTGGCGTGCAAGAATCAAGGGTTTGTTATAATAGCCTGCGGTGCTTTTTAACTGTGTTGCTATGTTGGCAACTTCTGGCATCTCTGTGAACTATACCCGTGCATCGATCGAAACAAAATCAACAAAATGCCACTCTTTAGTCTTTGCATTGCATATTGGCCTATGTTGATATCAGTAAAAACTCAACGCGCATAAAAGCTTTTAAGAAACTGATAATACAAGAAGGAAAGAAGATAATGATGATTCGATAATCCTACAGTAAATTATTGCAGCAAAACATGAACAATTATATGAATAGCGATGCTGATAAAAAAAGATTCATAGCTCTTCCATTTAGGCTATATCCTTGTTTTGGGCATTTTGTGAATTGATTAAAAGATCACTAATAATAAAATCCTTAGTCTTAAGTTGACAATCATCAACCAGCTGGGTAAAAATTTCTTAACCTGATGAATGCATACACAGTGAATACAGGTTGAGTGACTGAGACTCAAACATCCAAGGAGTACTGTTGTAAATAATGAACTTAGACAAGTCCATTTACATACACAAATGAAGCTCAAATACCTCAACACTCAAAGTCCTCAATCTTTTCAATGAGAAGATACCAGAGAGGAGGTCGACAATCACAAGGCTTGCAGAGAGAAAGAGAGGCTTTTCAAACAACTTGGAGAAGTAAAGCTCTCTCTCTCTATTTGGATCACATTAGAGAAAAAGCGCGCGAATTCAAGGCATAAATCCAGATACACAGCCACCTTTTAGTCACTTTAAAACCCAATTGAGCCTCCTTCGATTTGTTTTCAGCTAATTCTTTATTTGATATTTGCATTTCATTTCCTTTTGTTGGCAATTATTTCTTGCTTAAGAGAAACAAATTCAGAGCTTGATATATCAAGGACACCTTTCTCTGCTTTCTTTGGTTAAACTTCTGAAGCAATCGAAGATGCGGGGATGGGCGAGCAGTTCCAAGGTAGCCAAAGGTGTGTTCTTTTATTTGTTCATTTATTTCCTTTCTAACTCTATATAGTGCTCTCTCTCAGTAGTGTTCATATGCTTATCTGATCAATATCATGCATTTGATGATTTTACCTTTTAATCCAAATATACATTTACTCAAACAAGGCGATAGTTTAACTACATATGTTGCTAATTTATTAGAAATGTATATGTCAGAACCTGTTACATCAAATTAAACCTGAAAAGTGCTTTAGTCCATCATAGATCTCAAGAAAATGACTTATATTGAGAAAAATGAGAAGTTGCTTAGCAGTCAATCAACAAATTCAGCTAAGTCTCAAATATCAGTCGATAATTCTGATCTCTTTAGTTCTGTCATGAATTGTCTAGCTAGAAACATAACTCAAATATCAGTCGATACATTAACTGCATATATTAATAATTTTTCATAATAAATATCTACGGTGGAAAATAATGATATATGTTGAGAAAATGAAGCTTCATGATATATGTTGAGAAAATGAAACTTCTAAGTCTCCAGCTCTTAAACATATAAACTTTATAACTCTATTTCAGATGATGACAACTTTTCGGACAATCTACGCAAAAGCATCAGCGTGAACGAGGAATACCTTCATGCATTCAGGACTCATTCCTACATCGAATTCTTCACAAAAGCCCAACTACTCGTCAATGAGCCATTACCAAGCTCTCCTAGATCAAGCATCAACAAAATGGATATCCTTCTTGAGCCAGAGCAACACATTATACCTCCAATCCTCGAATCATTCTCCCAGAACTCATCAAACCTCAAAAACCTCATGCTCCATTACTTTGAAACCAGCGCTCAAGCCTCAAGAATCTGCAGCAAACTATTAAGAAGCATCAATGAGACTCAAACCAATTTCAATGTCCTACAAAGAATTCTCCATTACTCATCAGAGCAGTACAAATCAGCAATCGCGGAGCTTGATTCCTTCTCTCAATTAAGAAGCCCATTCGCTGATCCAAACCCCGAAGATTTCAAACAAATCTGCGATAATTTCTCCTCTATACTCAACTGTCTCAAATCAAAGAGGAAGAAAACAACAAGGAGAATTAAGCTGATAGAGTTCATCAAGAAGGCCTCAGGGGTTTGTCTAACAGTGGCTTGCAGCGTTTGCGCAGTTATAGCCATCGGCATTGCAGTGCACTCAATCTCTGGACTTGTTATAGGTCCAGCTATTATGGGTCTCTCTCCAAATCAATTCAAGAATAAAACATCAAGCTTAAATTGCTTCAAGTGTAAATATTGGAGGAAGCTGAGGAAGCAAATTGATTTTGCGGCGAAAGGGACTTATATACTGAACAGAGATTTTGATACAGTGAGCAGAATTGTGGCTAGGCTTCATGATGAGATTGAGCACAAGAAGGAGATGATAAGGTTCTCATTGGAGAGGAGAGAGGATAAGTTTCCTCTTGAAGAGGTTGTGAAAGAGCTAAGGAAGAATGAGAGATGGTTTACGAGGCAAGTGGAGGAGCTTGAAGAGCATGTTTGTTTGTGCCTTGTTACTATTAATAGAGCTAGGGTTTTGGTGATCAAGGAGATGATGTCTAAACCCTAGTTGGATTAGCTAGTTTTTGATGATGTGATAGGCTAGGCTAGCTTGTACATAAGTTTTAAGGTTTATCTTCTTGATTTGTTAGAGAATGTACATAAGTCACAATTCTTAAGGGAAATCCTTGTGTATGGGAAAAATGGATTCACACACGTAATATTTAAAGATATACTGAACAATGCATGGAGCAATGAAGAGGGGACACCTCACCTGTCTCCCCTGTCCCATGAGTTTGGGTCGCTGTATCATTACTCTTAAAATATCAATGACAGGCTATGTTTGAAAATTCCAAAACAAGATTGGAACAAGAGTTGTTTTTAATTACCTAGATTAAGTGTTGATTCACGTAGAGATGGATAAATAAATAAATTAAAAAAGACACTAGTTTAAATGCTAAAATTTAATAAAAAAACTAATTAAATTTGGCTCAAGCTTTGCTAAACTAAAAATAAGTTTTCGGACGATACATGTATCCACTGAAACTAGTTCTTTAGAGTTGCTTAATACCCTATCACTCGTGCATTCACGCTAAGCTATTTGAATCTATAATGAAACAATATAATAAGTGGTTATCTTATCAGATTCAGATACATCTTGTTGTAAATTGAGAAGTTCAACTTTTAATTATAATCATCTATTATTTAACGAGTAATTATGATACTCTTGAGTAGATATATAAATGAACGTCATTTTTCATATTTGTATGTCCTTTGTTTTTTTTTCAATAGGAACCTCTCTACTACTAAATGAGAACTAGGGAGAACTTCTTGGGCCTTAATGGGCTAACTCAAGTTCACTGAAAGGCCCGTTGATGACCCAAATATGGAAATTTAGGCCCGCTGTTGACGGGCCCACAGCTAAAATGCAAAGGCACTCACGATTTTGGCGCCGATTTTTGGGCTTTTGAAGAAAATGTTAGGGTTTCATCTCCATCGGTTCTAGGTCTTCAAGAAATAATCGAAGATCCTCATCAGAATGGTAAGCGGAGGCTAGGGTTCTTCTTTCTTTGCTGATTACGTAATTTAGTACCAAATCACTGCTTAAAATTGACAATTTCAATGTGCGAATTTGACAGAGAACCGAAATTTTCGCGATTTCGTATCGAGAGAACTAGAAAATTGCATCGTATTTCGTTCAATGTTATATGCGGCTGGAATCGTAACGGACATTGCACTTATAAGGTTAGTTTTTGCTTAATTACGTGTTTGTGTATTATACTCTCATAATTGTAGAGAAGATTATTGAATTAAACCATAAATTTTCTCTAAATTCATTTGTTCTACTATTAAATTCTGGATATTAGGTTTTCTTTAAGGATTATTTAAGCCGGGATGCGAAAGAGCGAGTGGAGTCCCTTCGGTGATTTTTTATTGGGGTTACGAGTTTAGTTAGGATCGAGAGCGAGGCATTCTCATATCGGGATAAATGTTAGAGAAGAGAGGTAGTTAAGAGGGACCCATTGGGTTCTCTCTCTAATTATTCATAAAAAATAAACAAATTATGCCTCATTTAACAATTTATAATCTTAATTGGCATTGTTTGACCATGTTCCCAATCCCCTTTTCAAGTTTTGGCGCATATTAGATCAACAAAATAAATTCTTATCACTTTTCTGAACCAGGTTTTAGAAAGCGGGTTAATTCACTGGGGTAGTCCACTCCAGTTCAGTAATAAAACATTTATCATTTAGTTTCCAGGAAATTACTGGGTGGTTAGTGAGCTTGGACAGGTGAAGGGTTTTATCGGAGCGGATACGGTTCGGATATGACGTTTACCATATCCATATCCGCTTTTTATAAACGGATACGGATCACCTTCGGTAAGAAAAAACCTTAACCATATCCGTATTTATCGGAAACGGATACGGTTCAGATATTTGAGAATCGGATCGGATATGATCACGGATATAAACGGATATTTGACATAAATCTATTAGACATATAATCTTCATCCAAAACCATCAGTTGAAAACTAAAATTGAGCACAAATTTATTAGACATATAATCTTCATCCAAAATCTTTAGTAGCACAACCCAACTAAAACAATAGTGTCAGGAATTATAACCAAACTACAACAATCATATCTAGAATTTCAAAGATATATGAATTGAAAATTGAAGGCAAAAAAGTTCAGACATGATCTTTTTTATATTTCTTCTCTAACTTAGAAATTTATGGTCGTCAGCGATCAAGTCTTGGAGTTTCTATGTCTTGGTGACTAATTTCATTTGATATTTGACTGTAGACCAGGCCAACATGGATTAATTGTTTACTTCTATGAGGTGACTAATTTGGTGACTAATTTGTTTTGGTGACTAATTGTTTACTTCTATGATCAGATTGCTTTGGTATAAATAATAATAATTATAACAAATTGATTTGGTGACTAATTTGATTTGATATTTGACTTTTTTAGTATAAATAATAATAATAATAATAAAGTTGAATTGTTTACTTCTATGATCAGATATTTATGGAAGAATGACTCATAATCTTGTTGCTTTGGTTTACTTAAAAGTGAGTTAACTCGATTTCCCAGATATTGATCTAGAGTAAGTAATTATTAAGAAAAATGAAGGGAAAAAATAATTCTCTTATCACTTCTTTTGCTGCTACCCAGCATTTAATTTACTAATCCATAGGATTTCAACACCAATCGTCTCCATCCTCTTTCCTCACAAAGTCTGCACATGACATTGCTTTTAGAACCCCCAACATAAGTATGTGAAACTATACTATAATCTGCACCCAAAAAAAAAGAAAAGAAAAAAAACCGTATCACAACATCTCAGATCTCTGTGCCTACAAGAAATCACTCGAACAATGTAAACTCCATTAGAATACTACAAGTAATAAACATCAAACGCTAACAAATGTGGAGGCGGCCTGAGGTTGAGGGCGGAGTCGGCCTGAGGGTGAGGGAGGCAGGGAGAGGTGAGGTTGAGGGCGGAGGCGGCCTGAGGTTGAGGGAGGCGACCTGAGGTTGAGGGCTGGAGTGGACTGGAGAATCGTGGAGAACTGGAGATGGAGAGTGGAGAACTGGAGGCAGACTGAGGGTGAGAGCCTAGGGTTTTTTTTCTTTTGTACTTTTGGTTTTGGGTTAGCGGGTTTGTAACTATAAATTTGGGACCCGATTACCCGAATCATTATTACATTGCGGATATCCGTATCCGTAACCCTCATATCCGTATCCGAATCCGTATCCGAAAAAAAATCCGAAACCGGATCCGTATCCGAAACCGTATCCGTCCGGTTTCAAAATTAGCTTACCATATCCGCATCCGTTCAGATACGGATGCGGATTGGTTCGGATATATCCGAACCGTTTGGCACCCCTAGGTGAAGCAGGTGGTTCTAGGTCCCATTTTCACAGTACTGGTCTATTCTCTAGTCTTGCTATCTTGTATTCAAGCTGGGCTGTATATTCCTTTTTAGCTTCTTGCTTTCCAGATTATTCTTTCGTATCATATGGATTGGGCAATCTCCTATGGATGATTTGTATATACATCTCTTTTCGATTTCTTCATCTTCTAGTTGGAACAATAGAAAGCAGGCAGATTAATATTGTTACATAAGTGTTTCTTACTATTAACATACATCACCCATGAAGAGTTTGATAATCCATCATATAATGCATTAGTTTTCTAAATGGTTACCTGTCTAACTACTTCAACTGTCTTTCTTGAGTACTCTGATATCCCTCCACCTAGACCCCATGTAATGAGTTTCGTCTATCTGGCCATATACTGCAGACTTGAAATAGAAGGCATTTGGGCCATTGCCATCCGTCTCTAGCTTTTGAACACCATCGACGAACATAGCTATCTTATTGGTATCCACATCATGTACCACATTTATCCCCACCCACCTGTCATATATATTTAGTTCCACTAAGGTACTGTGGTAGAATTCAAATGACCATTTACAACCATGGGCATTAGCACAGTAGGTGGGTATGTAGCGCGACGAATCTGCACGATCGATGTACTGCTAGTGCCTTTCGGCACAAAGCCATAACCTTCAGATTGCCATGATACACCTGATGAATAGTCATATCCCCCCACCAAATTAAAGACAGGAATTAGGAATTTTCTAAATCTATTTATCAATCTAATTCTAGTGAAAGAAGTTGGGTTAAAACTTAAAACTACTTTCTTCAAAGAGTATCAGAAATTACACATGCGGATTTGGTTTTGTTTGGGTGGTCGGGTTGAATGGCTTGTCAGTTGAATACACCCAGAGCTTGTGTCCTCCATCAATGTTGATGTACCTATCACTCAGATTTAGATTGTATGGCCATGTAGATTGCATGACCAGAAAGAACTGGCTTTGTTTTTAACCTTATCCTTATTCTGGTTCTTGCACTATAAAAATATTACTTGATGCTTATATATTTCCTTGGAAGTAGGGTTTGCCTCCTTTGTAAGATGTGTTAACATAGTTCAGTTTTTAGCTCAACCACAATGATATTTTGACATACATTTACTCTATCCCATCTCTTCAATCAATATATATGCTTTATATGTGTACAAAATCTGATTTATTTTACTGGAGAGGGTAGAAAGAGCAAAATAATTTTTTTGTGTACAAAGTAAAATTTACTGAATACACTGAATAAATGTGCTCTGGTGATTTCAAAATAAAATACAATGTGTACCTTCATTTTGAGAAAGTAAATAAAATATGCCCCTGCGATCTACATGCAACAAAGTTCAAGATTTTGGATTTGCCACTTGTGCAGATTTTTACCACAAGGTTATATTATAATGACATTTTGATTGCTACTTTATAAATTCTTTTACGAGGATAGGAACCGCTGTTTGGTTCACTCTGTTAGTTCACCCAGATTATCCTTTATTTGGTTTCAAGAAATATGCAGTTCTTTGATGGTCAAGATAGGCTGTTATGATCTAGGTTTGAAACACTGGTCCATTCTCCATGGTCCATGCCTCACATATGGCTAGCTTGTCCAGCTGTTGTTATATTTTCCTTTCCAGCCGCTTGTTTCGTATTTTCTTTTTTTGTCATTCTGATAAGGTAATATATTCAGACACCTCCAGAAAATCTGTATGCATATTCCATTTGAATCTCTTTTATATAATTAAATATATTTT